CTCTGCCTGCCTCTAGGCCCTTCCCTCCCGTGCTGGCCCCCTGCAGACACAGGAGACCAGCTGCAACACCCACTGCCGTGGAGCTCACAGCTGAGTGGGGGCAGAGCTGACACGGACCTTGGAACTATCCAGTCCAATACCCCCACCTTACAGATGGGAAAACTGAGGCCCTGGGAGGCTGAGCAGCAAGGAGATGAAGAGCAGGAGCTCATATCTGTATCCAGCATCAGAAACCCCCACAGAAAGGAGGCAGAAAAGGGCCGCTGGGTGGGGGTCCCAGGGGTCTGGCACTGGCAGCCCCTGGGGTGGGGGGGCGGGGGATCAGCCCCCCCCCCCCCGCGAGGGCCCCCCGCGTTCTCCCAGGCACCTCTGGCGCCAAGCACACAGGAGGAGTCCAGCCTGGCCAAGGAACTCAACGGACGTCAGGACCTTCGCCAGACTCCTGACTTCACCCTTCACCCCCCACTCCTGCGCCAGCTTTGATTGACCCCTACTGTGAGCATAGCTGGGCCCCACACTGGGCAGTGCGAGAGACACGCCTGCTCTCAGGAGCCCGCAGTGGAGAGGGACGGGGTTCGAGGGGTCCTGCCCCTGATGGGCACACAGGAGGCCAGCGTCGGAAGGGACTCCTAACCTGAAAGATGGAGGAGGGCTGCTGGGGCATCTCGGGCAATGCATTCGGAAGGAAGGGAAGATCCCTGGAGACAGCGAGACCAAGGTTTGCCAACCTGGAGAAGAGCACGGCCAAGGCCCTGAGTCCACGGCGGGCGGGGACAAATGAGCTTGCCGCCTGGAGGGAGTGGGCTGAAGAGCCATCTGAGTGAGTTGGGTGGACGTGAGCAGGCTGAGGCTGCGGAACCCAACCCGAAAACGGGAAGAGCTACCCGCAATGGGGCTGCCAAATCCATCCTCCACGCAGCCTGGGAGGGGGAGCAAGGCCCCAGGCAGCTCTGCGCATGCGTAGCTCCTGGGGGGCGGAAATGAGCACATGCGCATGCGCCTATGTTGATCCATGCGAATGCACGCGTGTATGCAAGTGGCTGTGTGCAGCCCTGTGCATGTGCGTATATGCACATGTGTGGGTGGAATACATATATATGCACACATGAAGTGCACACACATTTATGCACATGTGTATAGAACACACGTGCATTCTATGTGGGTGTATGGATATTTGTCTACGAACACGTGTGTGGATGTGTGCACGAATGTGTGTGCGCAGCATGTGAATACACAAGTGTGTTCACGGATGCCTGCTTGTGGAAGCACTCATGTGCGTGTGTGTGCACATGGCTATGCACACGAATGTCCTGTACAATTTACAAAGCTGTGTGTGTGCATGTATATGCAGCATGCACGGATATGCGTCGGTGTGTACGTGGTTACACCAGCGTAGGCGTGCCCACAAATGTGTGCGTGTGATTGTGTGTATGCACTCACACATGGATATGCGTGTGCACATCTGTGTGTACGCACACATACCCCGTGTGCAGGGAAGCAGTTCAGGGAGATAAGCTCCCATCCACCAAGACAGAGGCCGCTTGTGGAGCACAAGAGGACGACATGCCAGGTGTGAGCCCAGATTCCATCTCAGCACCCAGGGCCTAGGACCCAGTGTCCCATGGCTGAATGGCCCTGGCTGGACCAACCCTTCCCTTCCAGTCCCACTCATCACGGGTGGGAGGAAGGGCAACTAGGCCTTGGCAGCCCCAAGACGCTTCCCAGCTATGTGATTTTCCTTCTAAGAGGTCCCACAGCTCTCCCCAGCGCCCTCACCCCCACCCCCTCTACCAACGCAGCCTGAATCCTTACGACACCCTCTCTGTCATCCTCCGGGTGCTGCCAAGCCCAGGCCTGCCCACCAGCGACTCACGGGGACAGGCGGCCTTCCAGGCACATGCTGTTTTGCTTGTTACAGGATAATCAGGAGCCGTTCGTCAAGCCTTATTGTCAATGTCTGGGGTAAGAGGCCTCTTCAGCTCCTGGTTGAGCAGCCGCAGTCCCTGGGGCCTCCCTCCCTCACACACAGGCAGGTCTCAGTTCGGTGCAGCCCCAAAGCCCAGTCAAGGGCTTCTCAACCCCGAGGATTCTTTAGGGGACCCAGCTCTCCTCTCTTCCCCCAGGCCCTGACCCACAGGAGAGGCACTTCTCCTGCCTCCTCCTGGGTTATGCAGGGAGATGCTGCTGGCGGTCCTGAGGTCAAAAGGCCAGCTGGGCGTCCCCAGGGGCCTGAGTCACTGGGCCGGTCAGGCACTCCTGATGTCCCCAGCCTGGCCTGGAGAGCCACTTCCTGGGCAGTGGGAAGTCCTGCCTGCTTCAGGCCCCAGGTGCTCTGTGTCCTTTTTCCTCCAAATTCTTCGTGCTCAGCTGCCCTTGAGTATGAATGTGTGAGATGTCTAGGGCAGCCAGGACCCTGGGTGTCCCAACACCCCCAGGCATCCCCCAAAGTGCTCCTCACAAGATAAGAACCCCCAGGGTCTGCAGGAGGCCCAAGTGACTGGTCAGCTGCTGGGGAGGGAGCTCCCCCTAACCTACATCTGACCCCTCCCATTTCCTTTTTTTGGCTCCTCCAGGGCAAAGCCCCTTCCCTAATCCCAGGGAGCACAATCCACAGGGACTTCTCACTTCCTAATGACTTTTCCTCTGTTCTCCAAATGCAGCTCAGATGGCACCTCCTCCAGGAAGCCTTCCTTGACAACTCCACTCCCAGCCTAGGAATGAGCTCCAGGGCACTGAGGGCATTCACTTCAGCATGGCAGTGTGGGGCACCCACCATCCCAGAGGGCAAAACGCCTGGTACAGACAAGGAGAGGTGCATGCCAACTGCCGAGGTTGCGAACATGTGCGGGACCTCCCTGCAAGGTGCTCCAGGCCTCCCAGACCAGGGGGCCCTTCCACCTTCCACAGGGATACTGGCTTCCTACCTTCTCTGGGCCATGAGACTCTCACATGCAGTCATGGATTTGCGGCCAAAAAGCGCCTAAAAACCCAGGGCTGGCTCTGGTCTTCCTCAGGCAGTCCCACCCTCTAGAATTTCTGATTGCTGGCCTCACCCTAGCCTAACCCCTCCTGCTCCCTGTAAGGGTGCTAAGGAGGATGCTGGGGCTCCCAGTGGGCATCTCTGCTAAGATGCCAGCACTCTCCTACATAAGACCCTTTGAGCCTTGGGGCTCAGAGAAAAGAGAAGCAGCCCCAAAGCCACGCACATTTCTAGACACCACTAAGGGGGATGCTCCAATCCTTCCCCATGACACCTTCGTAGAACCCACAGGCGTCCCATCCCATGACCCACAGCCGCAGGGAATGACCCCTACCCTCCCATCTGAGGCTACAGGGAGAGCTGCTGGCCTGCCTGCGCGCTTTTCTGGACTGCTGGGAGGAAAGGCCCTCCCCTCCTCCTAGCAAGAAATGCCAGGCCTGGGATCTCCAATCTCCTCCCCAGGGTCTGTCTCCCACCAACCCTGAGCTGCCTGGAGGTGGGAACCAGCGCTCGGGTGCGACGGGAAATGGCAATGCGCATTCATTGAATGAATGCAGAGAGACACAAGGCTGGGGGTAAGCCGAGGGTAAGGGAGGTACCCCAACAGCTTGCCCCTAAGCCCGCAGGAATGAGGTACCCACGCAAACCCGCCCGTCATCCGGGAAATTCATTCTGGGTGTTTGTCAGGGGCGGTGATTTTGAACATCCCCCCACCCTTTAAAAGCAGGGCCCCGGAGCACGAGAATTAAACTTCAATAATTGCCAACATGGATGCAGCGCCTGGGAGCCTGCCCAGGCCTTCCACTGGCACCGCCGTCATGATTCATGCTCCAGCAGCGCCTGGAAGTGGGCAGAGAAGGCAGCTGAGGCCGGGGGCAGGGGAGTGGTTCTGCCCCGTTAACACCGACCAGAGATGGACCAGAGATCAGAGCCCGACCCGCACTCGGCAGGACCCCTCCGCACCCAGGCGGCGTCGCGTCCTCCGCCAGGCTGCGAGTGGCTGGCTCTCCAATCAGGCCGCGGACCCCGAGCCGACCGGTGCTGCGCGCGAGTGTGCGCGCCCGCGTGTGCGTGCGCGTGTGCCCGGGGGAGGCTCGGAGGCTCTTGTCTTAGAAAGAGCAGGTTTCTGGAACTCACCGCCCAGGCCGGCCGGCACTCAACCCCGTCCCGCAGACTGCAATCGGCCCTGGAGGGGGCGCCCTCGCCGTGCGCGCGCCCCTCGCGCCACCGCCCCGGACTCCTCCCCGGCGCCGCGCGGGCAGGTTCGCCCAGGCGGCCGCGGGCTCCGGCTCCCGGGCCCGCTCCCCACCCGGCCGGCGGCGCTGGCCTGCCCGCCAGGCCGCCCCCGCCCGCCCGCGCCCCGCCCCGCGCGCCCGCCCCGCTGCGCAACTCTACCCAAGTTGGAAGCCGAAGCCGGGCGGCTGCACTCGCGCCGAGCGCACCGCGGCGGCGGCGGCGAAGGAGGAGGCGGCGGCGGCGGTGGCGGCGGCGGCGCAGCTAAGGCTAGCGAGGCAGGCGAGGCGGAGCCCGCACGGCCGAACGCGGACCGCGGGGGGCGCCCGCGCCCGGAGCAGCAGGAGGAGGACGCGCGGCGGCGCCGGCGCCCTGCCCGGGAAAGTAAAGTTGGAGCCCGAGGCTGCGCGCCGGCGCTGGGGCCCGGAGGAGCGGCGGCCCGCGCCCCGGTGCGCCCAGCCCTAGCCGGCCGGATGGGAGGCGGAGCGCCCGGGCCGCCGCCGCCGCCGCCTGCAGCCTGTGCCCCGGCCGAGCGCCGGGGACGCGGGGCCGCTCGGGCACGCCCGCTCGGGCGCCGCATCACCGTGGGCTCGCGGCCCGGGCGCTCCCCGTGAGCGGGGCCGAGGGCGGGGCCGCGCGAGGACCCCGGGACCTGCCCCCCTCCCCCCGCCGCCGCGTCGCCGCTCGCTCCGGGAGCCTCCTGCTCTGCACTTACGCGCGCGGCAGCTGCGGGAAGCCCGGCAGCCACGCTCTCCGGAGCGCCGCTCGCCCGCCGAGCCACCACGGCCGAGGGCCGGCTGCGGGGCGCCGCGGTCCCAGGCGGGCGCGCCCCGGGTACAGGCGGCGATGCGGGCGCCGGCCCGGGCTGGGGGGCGCCCGAGCTGCCGCGGCTGCGCCCCGGCTCCAGGCGGGACCGCGTAGCTCGCGGGAGGACCATGGCGTCCCCGGCGCTGGCGGCGGCGCTGGCGGCGGCGGCGGCGGCGGGCCCCAACGCGAGCGGCGCCGGCGAGGGGGGCAGCGGCGGGGACGCCAACGCCTCGGGCGCCGCGCCGGGGGCCGCCTGGGGGCCGCCCCCGGGCCAGTACTCGGCGGGCGCCGTGGCGGGGCTGGCTGCCGTGGTGGGCTTCCTCATCGTCTTCACCGTGGTGGGCAACGTGCTGGTGGTGATCGCCGTGCTGACCAGTCGGGCGCTGCGTGCGCCACAGAACCTCTTCCTGGTGTCGCTGGCCTCGGCCGACATCCTGGTGGCCACGCTGGTCATGCCTTTCTCCCTGGCCAACGAGCTCATGGCCTACTGGTACTTCGGGCAGGTGTGGTGCGGCGTGTACCTGGCGCTGGACGTGCTCTTCTGCACCTCGTCCATCGTGCATCTGTGCGCCATCAGCCTGGACCGCTACTGGTCGGTGACGCAGGCCGTCGAGTACAACCTGAAGCGCACACCGCGCCGCGTCAAGGCGACCATCGTGGCCGTGTGGCTCATCTCGGCCGTCATCTCCTTCCCACCGCTCGTCTCGCTCTACCGCCAGCCCGACAGTGCCGCCTACCCGCAGTGCGGCCTCAACGACGAGACATGGTACATCCTGTCGTCCTGCATCGGCTCCTTCTTCGCGCCCTGCCTCATCATGGGCCTGGTCTACGCGCGCATCTACCGCGTGGCCAAGCTGCGCACGCGCACGCTCAGCGAGAAGCGCGCGCCCACGGGCCCCGACGGGGCGTCCCCGACCACTGAGAATGGGCTGGGTGCTGCGGCGGGCGCTGGCGAGAACGGGCACTGTGCGCCCCCGCGCCGCCCGTGCGCCGACGTGGATCCGGAGGACAGCAGCGCGGCGGCGGAGCGGCGGCGGCGCCGGGGTGCGCTGCGCAGGGGCGGGCGGCGGCGCGCTGCGGGGGAAGGGGGCGCGGGCGGCGCCGGCGGCGCCGACGTGGCGGGGCCGGGGCCAGGAGCGAGCGATTCGGGTGCGCTGGCTGCCGCTAGGTCCCCGGGTCCCGGCGGGCGCCTCTCGCGCGCCAGCTCTCGCTCCGTCGAGTTCTTTTTGTCGCGCCGCCGCCGGGCGCGCAGCAGCGTGTGCCGCCGCAAGGTGGCCCAGGCGCGCGAGAAGCGCTTCACCTTCGTGCTGGCGGTGGTCATGGGCGTGTTCGTGCTCTGCTGGTTCCCCTTCTTCTTCAGCTACAGCCTGTACGGCATCTGCCGCGAGGCCTGCCAGGTGCCCGACCCGCTCTTCAAGTTCTTTTTTTGGATCGGCTACTGCAACAGCTCGCTCAACCCGGTCATCTACACCGTCTTTAACCAGGACTTCCGCCGTTCCTTTAAGCACATCCTCTTCCGACGGAGGAGAAGGGGCTTCAGGCAGTGAGCCGCGCGCCCGGCCCCGCGCAGACCCTGGACAGCTCCAGGCGGCGCCTTGGGAAGGCATACCCCCCGCCACCCCAGCCCCGCCAGGAGAAAGCGGGGACAGCAGCTTCCCCCAGACCCAGGGATGGGTTGACCTCTGGGACATAGGGGAGGGTACCGCAGTGCAGGAGTGTGGGCTGAGGGACGGCAGGGACCCCGGGGAGGGGGTGAGGAGAGAGGGGCAACCCCTCTGCCTTTCCATCTCAGCAAAGGGCTGCTTTTGGGCATTCGGCCCGGATCTGGCCCTGGGGGCCCCTGCAGAGGTGCGGCTGTGAGGTCAGAGTCTCAGACAGCAGAAATGAATGCAACCTCTCTAACGGGCAAGAAAGGAGCCCGCCCCCCCAAAACACACCGCTACCCAGATCCACCTCTGAGCAAGGGCTGACTTCCCCAGGACCGTGGGGGCGGCTGTCTTGGGGGAGGAAAGAGGCAGTGACAGTCTTTGGTTATTGAAAGTATTTAAATGTTTGCCAAAAACGACAGCCAAAACAACCAAACTATTTTCTAAATAAACCTTTGTAATCTAAGTGTTGGGAGAAGCTGTCAGTCCTTAAGCCACCAGCAGGGGTGGGGGGAGGTATCTTCCAGAACTCACCCTCCTGACCTCCCCCAGGGGGTGGAAGGAGGACAGTCTTGGTCTTCAGATTCCAGCATCCCCTCTTGCAGGAGAAGTGAGGTAGTTTTTTTTTGTTGTTGTTTGTTTGTTTTTGTTGTTTTTTGATACTAGTGGTAAAATTCTTGTGCTGTAGTTGGCTCAGAGGCAAAAGAAACCAAGACGCCCCCGCCCCTCAGATTGGGTCCCAGTTTAGATCCAAGAACCTCATCCCCATCCCTGACCCCATCCAGTTCCTGGGCTGGGAGACCCTCCCCAGTGGAGGGAGGCAGGGCTCCCTGATCCAAGTCTCTAATTTTGCCTGCCCCCCCCACCAGTAACTTTGGGTCAGTCCCCCGCCCCTGAACACTTTATGGGTTTGTCACTTTGGAGGAGGTAGGGTGGGTGAGCGCTGCCCAGAAGGGGGCCCCACCCACAGATGGGGTGGGGTGGAGGCCAAGACGAGTCCCCAGATCTTTATTCCATACCAGAGACCTTTAGCAATTTCTTATTGTTTTTTGAACATCAAGGCTCAAAAACAATGGGAACATCTGCATTGGCCGGGGAGGTGGCTGGACCCTGCTTGTCTTCCCTAACCACCCACCCATGCAGTCAAGCCTTGCCCTCTTGCTCAGCCCTCCCCCATACCCCAGGGTGTCTGTGCTCACTCCACTCCGCGGCTTGAGGAGGGGTGGCTAGAAGAAGCCAGCATTAAGTGGAGTGAAGCCGTCCTCTCCCCAGACTCTTCCAGCCCCATCACAGCCTACAGACTCCTAGTTGGTGGGAGCTCATTCTGCTGACCCCTGCTGTGACCGTCCTATCCTCCTGACACTCTGTCTCGGGCTCCCCATGGCCTTCGATATGTACCCCTCCCTGGCCAGCCCACCTGCCAGCCGAGCCCTCTCTTGGATCACCACCCATCTGCTTGACCTGGGGTGTCCATGGGTGTGTCCCCAGGATGGCTGAGCCCCAGGTCCTGCCTTTCATTCCCAAGTGACTGTCCCCTGAAATAGGAGCCAGGGCGGGCCCCTTCCCTGGTCTTATGTGTGGGGGCTGTCCCTTGGAGAACCTTCCTCTGCAGCTGCCCCACCCATCACCCCAAAATATGGGTACTCAGGACACCCTGCCTGGGAAGAACGCCCCAGGACCATGCCCACACTGGCTCATGTGAAAGCACTCACACCTGCTATGTTTAGGCTCAGGGGGAGGTGGAGAAGCTGAGACAGAGAACATGGAGTGGGGGGGTGGGAATGGCTAGTCAAGGCTGAGTGGGGGCATCCCTGACATACTCCCGTGCAGGGGCCCACCGGGGTGTCCATGTCAGAGGCCCAGCTCTGTTGCAGGATTGCAGAGCTGGCTCGGGCAGACCCGTGCCCTCCCTGGGCCACAGCACCCCTTCTGTGAAGTTGGGGGGTGGTTGTTGGAAGCTCAGACCCCACTGACTGGCCGATCTGAGGTCCCACTTGCCAATGGAATCGGGGGACCCCCTGAGAAGGGATCTTCCTTTAGAGACTGCATGGCTGGCCCTGGTGCTCCCACTGAGTGGCAGGGTCCCCTCGGTGCCGTGGGGCACCAACACCCCCACACAGGGCTTCTGGGGGATGCATCCTGAGTCTACCACAGGAGCGCGCAGCGTGGAACACGGCCCATGGAAGAATGTCAGCACAGCCTGCTCCACCGGTCCCTAATTGCGAGAGCTGCACCTTCCAGGGCTGTCTCCGGGCCCTCCGGCGCCTGGTGCTTAATACCCCATTCAGCGAGCAGATGTTCCCCGATCGCTGGTGATTGCCGCCTGGAGAGGCCGTCTTCTCAGCTGGATAAACAGAGCTGGAACCTGGCTTCTCACCCTGACCTGCTGCAGGGACACGGGCCAGCTGGCTGGCTTGGAGTCTCGCTGTCTCCATCAGCGCGGTGCAGTCTCAGCACGGTGCAGCGGGGAAGCTGCTGGTTCCCTGAAGTCCTGGAGACCATCTTCGGGGGGAGTTCTGTACAGCAGGGAGTGCGGGGCCCAGACTCTGGCCAGTCCGCTGTGCCCTATTCCTTCACACACAGGCATCTGCACGTCTCCCCCAGGCTCCCTGTCGACCCCATTCTGTGGCTGAGGACACTGAGCCCTGGGTTCCACAGGTGTGAGGGCGTGGGGCATGCCAGGAACCCCGAAACGTCCAGCTCCAGAGCCCAGGCCCCGAGCACCTGGCTCCGGAGTCCTCTGACCTCGGGTGTTCCCTGGGCCTTGCCTCTGGAGAAGCATTTCAAACGGCCTCCTTTCTGCCCAACGCTTCCCCTCGGGCTCTGGGGAGATCTCAGACAGAATAAAGAAGCATCCCCAAAAAGATCAAGGAGGGCCAGGCCCCAAGTGGGCTGTTCGGCCCGAATGCCATATCCAGCCCCAGCCCAGCCCTTATGCGGTTCTTAGGAGACATACAGAGACACACATTTGTTTAAATTAATTCTCGAATTTTAATTCAATTGCCGAGCTCGTAGAAAAGGGGGAAAAGGATAATCCAAATAATCCATTACTGCTCAGTATGGAATTAAAAAAAAAAAAATCACTCGGAGCAGGCGGAATGGATACTTGAGGAAAGCAGCTCCGCTCTCCGCTCTGCCCCCGGCTCCGGGGGTGGGGCTGCGGGGTGGGAGGGAACACGTTGCCGCGCCGCTTGCTGGCGAGGAAGCAGTCCTTCCCAGTGGCGGCGGTGTTGGCAGTGGCTGCTTTCACCACATCCCTTGGCTGGACTCAAATATTCCAGCGCAGCCTCGGATCAAAACACACGCGCCTGCAGGCCCGTCATGAGTCTGGCTGGGCACTCGTGGCCAAGCCGATCGCTGTGTCCCCACCAACCGCCAGACCCCCTCATGCAAGGGACAGGTGGGAGGCTGCCGGGCTGAGGATGCCCCGTGCCCTGCCAGGGCACCCCTAGGCCCCACAGTCCCGTGTGGGACCACACAGGCATCTGGCCACATGTAAGCCTGTGGCTCTCTGTGGGCAGGGATGGGCAGCCCTGCTGCACGCCAGGGGGCATCTGCAGGGTGCTGTGTAGACGTGGGAGAGGGGCTCCCAGGGAGGGGAGGGGGTGAGTCCCAGGATGGTAGAAGTCCAGATCCTCCGAGCTGAGGAGCAGGTAAGAGTTTCCCACCTGGAGGATCCTTTGTCCCTGCTCTGGGTCTGCCACGAGTGTCTGGAGGGGCTCCAGGTGCCTCCCCACTCCCTAAGGGCCATCCTCCCGTTTGAGCAACAGGGCTGTCCAGGGCATCCCAGGTTGGTGGGGTCGAGAAGCAGGGTGAGGGGTTTGGGTGGTTGGAAGCGTCTGGTTTGCCCAAGAGGGACCCCAACAGGCACTGTGGGTCCTTTTGCTGCATGACCCCGACCCGACTTCCCAGCATCCTTTCCTGGCAGGCCTGGGGCTGGGGTGCAGGGCCATCCTCTGAAGTCTGCCTGGGCAGCAGAGCTGACCGCCAGCGCGGGGCGAAAAGAGAGCCCTGGGGACCAAAATCGTGCCTTTTTCTTGCCAAGAGGATTTGTGGCTGCTCCCAGTGAAAGCCTGGGGTACAATGGGATTATTATTGTCAAGATAAGGATCGCTGTGCAGGGAGGGGGGGAAAGCTGGGCCAGAAAGCCCCGTGTAAGGGCATCTTGCTCTCCTGGGCAAGCACAGAATGTGGTCCGAGCTGCCTGGCAGTGATGGAGAGAGGGGAAACAAGACAGGCAAAGCCGATGACCCGCAGGGCGGCTATGGAAGGCTGACCAAGCGTGGGCTGGGTTCCACCCCCCAGGTCTCCCTGACCCCAGGGGTGTCCTCTAGAGGGGGGCTTGCAGTACTGGGGAGATCCCTGGAGGGGCATCGAGCCACGGTCTCTGTTGGGCAGGGGGCGCAGCTGAACTTCACATGAGCTATTTCTTTTCCTTTTTTTTTTTTTTTTTTAAAGATTTTATTTATTTATTTGACACAGAGAGAGACCACAAGTAGGCAGAGAGGCAGGCAGAGAGAGGAAGGGAAGCAGGCTCCCTGCCGAGCAGAGAGCCCGATGCAGGGCTCGATCCCAGGACCCTGAGATCATGACCCGAGCCGAAGGCAGAGGTTTAACCCTCTGAGCCACCCAGGTGCCCCATGAGCTATTTCTTATGTATTCCCGGGCCAGGCCCTAGCTGGCGGGGGGATAGGAGGACCGGGAGGATGGTAAGACTGTGGACTCAACAGTCCCTGGGAAGGGACGGGCCTAATGGCTGACACCGGGGCCTACACACCTGGCTCCAGAAAGAGGCTTTGGGGCTGCAAAGCTCAGCAGGCGCTGGGTCCCCAGGGCCCAGGACAAGCCCACACTGCCATTGGCTCACAGGCTGTCAGCTCCTCTACCCCTGCTGCCTCATCCCTTCGATCAGCCTCTCCTGTGCTTTATTAATTTATGCTGCACCCTCCGCCAGGAGCATCTTTCCCGTCTTTGCCCAAGTGCCCCTCATGGGCCCCTCATGACACTGACCGGGCTTCAGGTCCAGAAAGCCCTCCGGAGCCACAGGTCTCCAGGGTTGGGCCAGGCGCTGCTCCCTCGTCCCAACGTGGGAGGCAGCGCATGGAGGCTCTGAACATGGGGACCGTGTACCATCCTGGCCAGGGCGAGTCGGGAAGGGCTGTCCTTCCTCACCCACGAAGACACCCGACCGGATTCATCCCCGATTCCCAACCCCGAGAGCTTCCAGGGCATGCCCATGGGGCCGGATGCTGTGTCCCAGGCCATCCAGGGCATCCTGTGGGGGGGAATGCCCCACAACCGGCTCTCACAGCAAGAGGCAGGCGCTCCAGGCTTGGGCGCTGGGACTCTGGGGGATTTTCCACTGCACGTGCACCCCGGCTGCTGAAGCCACATGTTCGAACATTAGTGGGCGGGTACCCCCCAACCCGCCCGCCCCGCACTTAATTAGTTCCTAGCTGACTGCAG